CTCCGCTCGTGTTAATCGTGCCGTGCCGAATATTATCGCTAAAATATTCTGAAGGGTGTATTAAGGACTTGGGAACGCAAAAAATTTGCCCGCAGACCTTAGACATTTCAACAGGACTCAGCACCATCGCACTCAGCACGCGCCACCCAAGAATGGCCACCAAAATCTCCGGATACCAATCCGTTGGACTATTGTGTCTGGATTATTTTGGAAAGCAAGGTTGACACTAAACCATACCATAGAGTCGATCGCCTTAAGCAAGCGCTTCGCCGGGAATGGGCCAAAATACCGCAGAGCAACATTCGGGCAGCGTGTGACGGTTTCATTGGCCGTTTGAAGGTTATAATTCGTGCCAAAGGTGACCAATTCTAACAAATCTGAACTTATTCTAAAATTCGATGCTATTTCCGACATTTTTTGCTTTTACTCAATAAAATTTAAAAAAAAAAAGGAAAAATTATTGCGTTTGACTTTGCTGCAGGTTTTTTACTCACCCTGTAGATGGAATTTGGATCAATTATCACGAATTTCAATTGAAATCAGACGAAGATATATATGTATATAAATATATGGGAGCTATATCTAAATTGGGATCGATTATTACCAATTTCAGTAGGGTTCGTCTATGGGCCAAACAAATAATTTTTGAAAAAATTCATCTCATTCGGACAATAAATGCGACCTGTACTTTGTTTGTTACAAACAAATGAACAAAGAAATAATTCCATGTACTACAGTGTGACGTAGGATAAAAATTCACGATAAAAGCTCTGGTAGCAATACAATAAACATTTCTTAAGCCCTCGGTTATATCGCAGAAAGCCTCTCGAAAAATATACTTTAAAATATATGATTATTGTTTAATAGGTCCTTAAAAGGCATTTAAAAACCAAAGTTCATAACTCTGTTAATATAAAATAAAAAAAAAATTTCAGAATTCTTCCTTAAAAATATTTTTAAAAATTCGTGTCATATCCTTGATAGTCCTTTAGAAAAGTGTTTTTTAACAATTATGTCACAGCTTTGATAGTCCCTTAAAAATTGCTTTATTTATTCCTCAAAAAAATCCTCAGAAATATTTTTTAAACCCCAAAAATATATTCACATAACGTACTTTTGAAGGAATACGACTCCTATAGATAGGCCTTCAAAAATAATTTTAAAACGCTCCTATATTCCTTAAAAAATATATATTTTTAATTTACAATAATGGCTTTAAATATCAGCGATATAAATAAATATTTATTTGAAAATTCACTATCAAAAACGAGTTCTACACAAAAATTAGAAATCAATGAAAACCAAAATTGGGGATTTCGGCCAAAAAAATCGTATTCTAATTTTTCTCTTTGAAACATATTCGGCTTGATTGAGAATTTTAAATTCAATCTAATTTTCATTCTAAATCGAATTTTGAAAAAAATTAAATTATTTGCCGGTTATTTCATTTATTTTTCTATTGTTGTTGTTGTTTTTTTGTTGTATTGAATATTTATGTAATTAACTTATGCATATTTACATAACTTATAAAAATAATAGGCTTTTCAGTTGACTTTAGTTTTTTTTTTTCATCTTTATTTACATAAAGTCTATAAATTGTACACATACAAACGCGTGTTTATATATGTCTATATGTGTACATGTGAATTAATATCATTAGAAAAGGTGGGTTTTTTTGGAATATGTATTGGGTGGTATGTGAATAAAAGAACAGCATATTAAAACACAAAAAATTACTAACTAATATTTAACTAAAAATCTCTTTAACACAGGAAATAATTTTTAAAATTTAACTAAAAATATATGAAAAATTTAGCAAAAACACATAAATACACGTCGCATTGTTAATATTTAATTTCTATAAATCCATAATTTTCCATACGAACAGATATCCTACTTCTTTTAATTTTTTTTACATTCTAATTATAAATCCACATGTAATTGTGTTTGTGTTCCAATGAACACACATTGGAATATCTGTATTTGGTGGAGTACATATATATGTGTGTGCCTGTGTAAGTGTGCACATAATATGCTTGACTGCAAAAAGGATATGAAATTATATTTGTCTTATGTTTCATAACATTAAACCTCAATTATGCAAAAGTGCGGAAGAGTAGAAAAAAAAAAACAAAAAAAAAAAAAGACCTCGTCGAGCAATCTTTATTATGTTGATATAGATTTATACAAATATGTACCATCAGCAAATGAATAGATAGATATGTGGATGGTAATGGTATATTACGAAATTGAATGTATGGGATATTCCATCGGACATTTTGTTGAAGCAATTCATGTTAAGTAGAATTTCGAAGGATTGGAATAAAAAGTTGTAAAATTCTTTATAATTTATATGTTTATTGAATTATTTAAGTTTTTGCTATGTCTAGAAATTTATATTACATCTTTAAGTTCTGCGACCTATTCGACTTTTCTTTTATTTTAATTTAACCCTCTAGAAGAAATCTTCCCAAAATTCTAAACTCTCGCATCACCTTTAGCAATTTTAGGGATATTTGGTTCAATTTTTTTTTACTTAAAGCTCTCTTTATCCATTATTTTTTGATTGTACAGCTAATGCAAAATCCTTGGTGGGTATCAAAGCCACTATAAATTACTTGCTTACTCGTACATACATACACCTACATCCTGTGTAGCTATTTAATTATACGGAACATATGCGCCACGCACCGTTGGAATTACGAATTGCTTTTGCTACGCTTGTCTGCACAGCGATGTAAATGTATGCAGTATCGTATCATTTGCATAAAGCTGCAGATTTTTGCGTTCAAATTAAAATAAGTTTTAGTGGGACTCTGATAAGGAAAGGGGTTTACATTAAAGCGCAAAATAAAGATGTATTATGGGGATAATAGGGGTAGGAGATCCAATACTGGCACTTTGGATTTCCCTTTAAAATAAGGGGACTTGTGTAATGAGAGAAAACATTTTACAGTTCTTCTGCAGACCAAAAAAATGATCTAAAGAAAAGACTTTATAGGGCTCATTAAAAAAAAAAAAAACATTTTTAGAGAGAAGGCCTTCTATGGTCAGAAAACTCTTTATAATTCTTAATACATTTTTCAGTACTTCAATTGATAGAAGAATATTCACAGATCCTATAAAGATGAAAAATCTCTCAGAGATCGTATATAGGAAGATTTCCTTGAAGAATTGAGAAGTCCTCAAGAGGGTTCTCCATAAGCTCCATTCATCCAACCTAATGGCATGTGATACTCAATGGCTTTTTAATTGACTGAATAAGTTTTATAGATCTCTTTAAGAAAAAAGAATTTTATAGCCAGAAAATCTTTCACAAAACTTCTATATAGTAATGAGCTTTTTTAAGGCTCTTATTAACAGGAGACCTTTAAAACGGCTTCTTTAGATGGTCTTTAGAATCTAAATCTGTTATAAATGAAAATAACTTGTACACGTTCTCCATAAATAGGAGAGTTATTACAGCTTCTCTATAGATGGAGAGGCATTTTCGCGTCGCAAAAAAAAAAACAGCCTTCTGTAAATAGAACATCTTTTACTGATCTTCTATATGCAGAATACTCTTTAAAAGTCTTAAATAAATAGAAGAACCTTTACAGGACTCCTATAGATGAAAGAGCATTCCCAAGTCTTTTTAAAATTGAAAAAAACATTTACACTTAAAAAGATTCTTTTAACTTTTTCCTTTAAAAGGAAGAGCTTTAACAGGTTTTCTATAAATAGAAGATTATTTACTGTACTTCCATGTATGAAAAAGATTTTCCAGGTTTAACAGAGAGAAAACCTTTTTAAGCTATTCTATGTGTTGGCTATTACTTTTGAATTCTTCTACGTTTAGAAAATCCCTTAAAGCTCTTCTATAGATTGAAGATCTTTTAAAGCTTTTAATGATTTTCATGGGAAAGAGTACCTTTTAAAGTTATCCAATGGATAGAATCCTTTGTGGATCTAACGCTTATTAAGACTTTGGAAAAAAATAATTTTTAAGTTTAGAAGCCCATTAAAAGCTCTTCTAATATTTTATTCCGATATCTACTATAGATAGGCGACCACTTAAAGTTTTTTACGACTGGAATACCCGTTAAATTCTTCAAAGCTCTTCTATTTATTTAATAACCTTTAAAGCTATTCCCCTTTTTCTCTAGGTCGCGTTTTTAAGCCCTTCTTTAAATAAAAGACCTATTAAAGCTTACTTAGTAATATATGATCTCTGAAGGCTATTCTGTAGATAGAAGACCCTGTGGATCTCATTTTCGAAATAAATCATTAAAAGCTCTTCTATGATACCTATATACATTTTAAAGCTCTCCTATTGAAACAGTAAATACATTTTTTTTTCAAATTTCTGCTATATAAATAACATCAGGTTAAAGCTCTTCTCTGAATAACAGAAGCCCTTATATGGATAGCAGAGATTTTAGCTTTTAAATATCTTCGATAGGTGGAGGACCTTTTAAAGCCCTTCTAAGAATAGAATGCCTCCCTAAAACACTTTTAGGAATGTTAATTACCCTTTTAAGCTCGTCCTTATATTTGGAGATTAATTTAAGCTCTTTTATAAAAACTAAAAGATGAGTGGAGGACCTTTTAAAGCCCTTCTAATGCCCTTAGAATGCCTCCCTAAAACGCTTTTAGGAATGTTAAATATCTTTTTAAGCTCGTCCTTGTATTTGGAGATTAATTTAAGCTTTTTTTATAAAAATAAACGTTTAAAGGCTCGTCTATGTATAAAATACTCGTTAAAGTTTTTTTTATAAAAAAAAAAAACTTTTTTAAATTCTATCCATGGATATTTTGAATGCCCTTGTAAGGTAGAATACCTCCTCCATGAATAAAAGACCATTCAAACCTCCCATATTAAGAGAATATAATAATAATAGCAATAGATAGAATAAATATTTGAGGTCAAAAGCTCTTTTATTCTTGAAGACAAGCTAAATATCTTTTACAGATATAAGTCGTGATTTCAGGACATTTTTTTATTAAATACCTTTTGCAGATCTTCAAAGGACGAAAATGGTTTTACAAGTTTTAAATGCCTATATAAGCGTTTAAAGATTTTCTAAGTTTAGACAAATGTTGTTCAGTTATTCTGCCAGTCTATTAAACATGGATCTTTTGTGAGCTAAATATCTTTTGGGGGTCATTTTTCCTAAAAAAGTCCATCTATTCTATGGAGAGGTAACTTTTTACAAAATTTGTAAAGTCAGTTGTCCTTATAAAGTCTTTCTATATGTCTACTATAAAGAAGCAACTTTTCAAGAGACTTTTAAAGAAAGAAATGTTTTTTACAGGTATTTTAAGCCTTCCTATGGGTAAAAGATCCTCTATTGCTATCACATGAATAATATCCTTTTATAGATAGAATGTCTTTAGGACTATCACCTTTTTCCTGTTCATGGTGCGGATCTCCACAAGTATTTTGCCTAGAAATATTTGGTTCTTCTCATTTTATGACTGTTTTTATTAATTCCTAATTATTTATGCCATTGAATTCAAAATATTAAAAAAAAAACATTCGAAATTGTGCCACTGCCAACCGAAATGGCAACCACAAAATTCAATATAGATTGGAATATAAATATTTGTGCCAATTCCCACATCCGCATACCGCAATTTAAATGAATAACTCGTGAATAGGTTTGGCTGTTGTTCTTGTTGCTGTTGAGGTTTGAAAACTTAATTTGGTCGACAATGTTTGGTTCGAAAACAGATAGGCAGGCAGGCAGTCAGAAAAACCAAAATTAACGGAAGTGCAGATTAAATTATGTGCACACACAACCCCACACACAGACATAAAGCACCGGGTCAGCGATGTGCCAAACACAGAATACAAGGAACAGAAAAAGTGTGCAACTGACAGAAATGTGCAACACATAAACAAATAGAAAAGCGAAAACAAAAACAGAAGCAGAAACAAACAAATGAATGAACGAACGAACGAAAAAAACTTTTAATTGCTATGAGCATTTGGTTGGTGGATGTTTTAATGCGCTTTGGCGACTGTTTGTTGCTAACGACGCCACTGCTGCTGCTGCTGTTGTTGTGAATTTGTATCGAACTCCTCCGCCTGGGCATCGGCATCAGCATCCACATCATCATTATGGGCCTGGGCATCATCTGTTTTGGTTTGGTCTCGATAATTGAGTATAACTAACTACGATTGATTTTAAATGCTTTTAATTTAACTGAAATTGAGTTAACCTACATTTTCTGCCGACCATAATCGGCCACTGCAGAAGCACTCGAACATAACTGGCCTTTCATTTTTGGGGCTCATATGTCCGTTTAATTTGTATGATGGGCATGTGTGTTAGTGTAAGTGTGTGCATTGAGAATGGGTGGGTGTTTGCAGGCAATGTAAGTCCTTGGCATCCATGAATACTCATTTCCCAGGGACTTACATTATAACCGATTCTCATACAGGCGAATTGGAAGATTCTGTTGCCGAACCACCGCCACCCAAATGATTGCCATGTTCGGTCATTAGTCCCCCACTGCTGGCTATGCTGGCCGTATCGGATAGGCCCATACTGCTAAGGCCACTAATACCGCTCATACGATCACGATTTGAGGTACCATAGACCGTCGAACCGCCGGCGCTGGCGGCTGTCGCTCCAATATCACTGATGCTTTTGACACGACGATGCTGTTCATAGAGAAGACTAGAATCGGTTGGGGTATCCAGACCTGTGCCTGCCGGCGGTGCACTGATGCGATGGGCATTTGCTTGTTGCTGCTGTTGTTGTTGTTGTTGGTGAGGATGTATGTAGAACTGTTGCTGTTGATAGTGATGCAGCTGTTGCTGTGACGACGTTGATGATGGTGTGGACACAGCAGCAGGTGGTGGTGGAGGAGGTGCGGTAGTGGGTGGAGGATAATGATGATTACTGTACTGCTGCTGTTGTTGTTGTTGGTATGTTTGACTCCCATATGGATAGGCACCTACAGTGGCGTAAATTCCTCCGCCCCCCTCTGAGCTACTAAACGATGGTGTTGGGGAGGTGGAGTTCCCAACAGAGGCGCGGTCACCAATTGAGCTACCGCTCCGGGATGATTTTGTATTGAAACGGAAGGCCTTTGAGAGGGAGCTCTGTAAAGAGAAAGAAATGAATTTAAATTAAGCAAGGTAAGAAAAATGGCCAGTAAATGAAGAAAACATAAATTACACTGTGCAACACAAAAAAAATTATTGGAAAGACCTTATAGATTATGACAGTAGAGCCAACAATAGAAGGCACTTGTGTCGGCATTTTGAAAGTTCAGATCGTAATGTATCCTAAAAATTGAGAGCTTATTCATCCACCTCACACTTTTTTTTTGAAAATTTCGGACTAGGTTTCCTTGGAATCCTTGCATTTTAAATATAGGATGTAATGGCCAATATTATTGATAGTAATACGAGGATTATTTATATAGAAAAATTTAAGCCTCATGTGAGGCAACAAATGGACTGTTTAGGCCCGTTAAAAATTCACCATAAATTTTAAAATTTTCAAAAAAAAAAAAAGATTGCCTTCTCAGAATTGGTATATAGAGTTCGCAATAGGTACCACATTTTCTGGCAGATAAAGTTCCATATTTTCGTTTAGCCCACATATAAGGGAAAACAAGTTCAGGTGGAATTTAGGAAAAGTTGTCCTAGATATTGTTAGATTTATTAAGTCCTGAAAAAAAGTCGACACTGCTTTTGAGACCAAGAAAAATTTGCATTTTTTGGGCAGGAATTTTGAAATTGGTACGGGACTATATTCGAACTGCAAATAATTTCCTATGCAAGTCCGCTAATTGCATAGCACCCATATAACAGAACCTCCAAATTTTCGTTATTTCGAAGAGTTATGCCATAATTTCCAGCCAAATCAGCTGAAACTTCACATTTGGAGTTCTTGGTAGACATTCTCTCTCCTTGCAAAAACTGTTCGATGCAAGTCCACTAATTGGTATAGCCTCTGGTACCACGGAACCTCCCGATTTTCTTTATTTTTAGGTTTCTACCAGAATTTCCAACCAATTCAGATGAAACTTGACATTTGGGGTTCGTGGAAAGTCTTTTCTATTCTTGCAAAAATGCTGGATGCACGACCACAAATTGGTATAACCTCCATGTAATAGTAGCTCCTAATTTTGGGTATTTTGAAGGTTTTTGCCACAATTTCCAACCAAATCAGATGAAACTGGTCATTTGGGGTTATTGAAAGGTCTGTTCTCTCCTTGCACTAATTGCTGCCGTCCACTAATTGGTATAGCCCCCATGTAATAGTAGCTCCTGATTTTCGGTATTTCGAAGGTTTCTGCTGCAATTGCCAAGCAATTCAGCATAAACTTGGCATTTGGGGTTCTCGATAGGTCTTTTCTCTCCTTGAAAAAATGTTTAATACAAGCCCACGAATTGGTATAGCGCCCATATAACAGAACCTCCAGATTTTCGTTATTTTGAAGGTTTATGCCACAATTTCCAGCCAAATCAGAGGAAAAGTGTTCTACGCAAAGCCACCTATTGGTATAGCCTCCGGTACCACAGTACCTCCCTATTTGCGGTATTTTCAGGTTTCTGCCACAATTTCCAACCAACTCAGATGAAACTTGATATTTGGGATTGTTGAAAGGTCTGTTTCTTTCTTTGCAAAAAAAATGCTCGCTACAAGTCCACAAATGGGTATAGCATTCATATAACAATGCCTTCCGATTTTCGATATTTCGAAGATTTCTGCCATAATTTCCAATCAAATCAGCTTAAACTTGGCATTTGGTGTTCTCGATAGGTCTGTTCTCTTCTTTTTTTAAAAAAAATATACGAGTCAAGTCAACTAATTATTATAGCCTCCATATAAAAGTACCTTCCGATTTTTGGTATTCTTAAGGGTTCTGCCACAATATCCAAACGAATTGTCTTGAATTTAGAATTTGATATTTAGAATTCGGTACCTCCCGTGCAATAAATGTAGTTATTGTAAACTCAGTTTAATGCTACCAGAAGTGTGCCCATAATAATTAACCAATTCTACTTTGATAAACACAGTGGAGGGTGTATACAAAATTCGGCCAGGCCAAGTTTTTCAAGTATTGTAAATTACAAATCATATCACAGAATTTATTTCAAAATGCAATCAATATAAAATTTCCCTTCATCAGCTTACCTGTGATCCTTTCCATGCCGATATCTGTTAAGAATATTTAAAAAAAAAGTGCAAGAGAAATGAAAATCGATTATTATTAATATTACATTTATGCAATTTAATATTACAATGATTTATTTAAATTTTCATTTGGTATATATGTGTGCAAGTGAGTGTGTGTTTGTGCATTTTTTATTTAAATCTTAAAATATAAAATAAGAATTAATCTTTTGTTGTATTTATATGTGCATAAATTTATTTGCCAGCATCCAATTAGTTGTTGTCGTCGTTTTCGTTTTTTTCTGTTTTTTTTTTTGTTTTAATTGTTTGTGGACACTGGACAATCAGTAGTTTCACAATTCATTGGTCAACACAAATAATCGCCTCAACGTTAATTGATTTCATTTGAACAGCTCATCGCATAAATCATGCATCAAATCATAATTCATCGCTGCAGCTGTTGTTGTTGGCGTTGTTCCGCATTTTTGCTGTAATTCTTATATAACTAAAAAAACCCATAATACTTTTAATCCTTTAAGTATTAAATTTATGGTTTAACTTTCGTTTTGAATTTGAATTGACAGATATCGGAAATTATGAAAAAAAAAAAAACGAAAACAAAAAAATTCCATTTATTTACAAAGGCAGGAGAGAGGCTATTAAAAAAGGATTTGACAATGGCTAATGGCAAGGAAAAAAAACAATCCATTGTTGACACATTGAAATAGTAATTATTAGGTCGATCATTAAACATTTAATTGTTATAGGCCAAGGGAACTTAAATTTCAAGAAGGCATTGTGTAGTTTTAAAGAAAATCAGTTAAAAATCAAATGTGTTGCATTAAAAGCATGTTTATATCTGGAATTAATTAAAAATAAATCAATGCAGAATCCAAAATGAGGATACTACAAAATACTGGACACTATAAAGTAAATAAGAGATATGCCAAATTAAATTATTCAGGACATGCCATGAAGATAGTGTAATAAGAATTTTATATGGAGACAATCTCGAAACATGGACTTGTAATCGGCATATACATGGTGAGGTGAAAAAAATGTAACCAACTTCAGACTGCTGTCATTTCTAATCCACTCGTCTGACAGCTGTTAAAATTATTCCATTGACAGTTCATTATATCGTTTAAAAGCGAACAAAAGTATTTTGGTGAGAATTTTAGTGTGATATCTTTATATTTGGCTGGAAAACCACAAGTTAGGGCACTCCAGCATTTAAATGTGAATAAATCGTTTGTGTCTCGTACCAACGCTCGCTACCGTCAAGGAAGTGGACGGAAGAAAACAGAAACATCAGCAGAAATGGTTCGAAAAGTAAAGAAGCGACTTGATCGAAACCCACGTTGCAGTGGCCGAAAAAAAGGCTCGTGGGCTGAACGTATCGCAATATTCCATTCGGCAAATATTAAAAAATGAGCTCGGGGTAAAGCTATTGAAATTCCAAAAAGTGCAAGAACGTACACCGCAACGGAAAGAAAATAGACTCAAAAGAGCTAAAGAATTGATTCGCTTGGTCGAAAGTGGTGAACTGCCGAATTTGGTTTTATCCGATGAGACAAAATCACGAAACAAAATGATCGTACTTACAAGCCAAAGAGGTCAGCTAAAAATGTGCACCTTCGGTTAGCCACCAGAACTGAAGCGCCGGCCATGGTGATGATGTGGGCCTCCATAACAGCCAATGGTCGCTCTTCTCTTGTATTAATCGACCGTGGCATCAGAAGAAATGCCGAATATTATCGCGAAAATATTCTGAAGGGTGTATTAAAGCCTTGGGCGCGCATACATTTTGGCTGCAGATCTTGGACAATCCAACAGAGCTCAAAACCAACCCATGAATGGTTTCAAAATGAGGTTCCTCACTTAATTTGCAGCGCACAATAACCACAAAAATCTGCGGATACCAATCCCTTAGACTATTGTGCTTGGAGTATTTTGGAAAGCAAGGTTAGCAGTAAAAATTACCAAAGTGCAGATCACCTCAAGCAAGCGCTTCACCGGGAATGGACCGAAATACCGCAGAGCAAATTTTGGGCAGCGTGTGACGGTTTTATTGGACGTTTGAAGGCCATAATTCGTGCCAAAGGTGACCAATTCGGACAAATCTAAACATATTCTAAAATTTGATGCCATTTCCAAAGTTTTTTCCTTTCATTCAATAAAATGTAAAAAAATGTAAAAATTTTGGTGTTTGACTTTATTGCAGTTTTTTATCTCACTTGTATATGTTACCAGGTTAACGGAAATTATCGTTTTATGTCACTTGGATAAAGTGGATAATTATTCGATGTTACTTGGATAAAGTGGATAATCATTATATGTCACCAGAAAAACTGAAATTTTAAGTCACCTAGATAGAGGGGATAATCGCTGTTGGCCAATTGGATAAAGTGGATAATAATTCTTCGCCACTTGGGTAAAGTTGGTTACCATTATATGCCACCAGGATAACGGAAATTATTCTCTATGCCACTTGGATAAAGTGGATAATAATTCTTTGTCATTTGGGTGGGGTGGCACAATCATTTTATGCCACAAGGATAACGGAAATTATTATTCTATGCCACTTGGATAATGTGGATAATCATTATTTGTCACCAGGAAAACGGAAATGATTATTTTATATCACTTGCATAAAGTGGATAATTATTTTAGTTCACTTAGATGAAATGGATAATCATTGTATGTCACACGGATAACGATAATGGATAAAGTGGATAATCATTATATGTCTGCAGGATGATGGAAATTATCATTTTATATCACTTGGATAAAGTGGATACAAATTCTATGTCACTTGAAAAACGTCGATAATCATTCTACGGCACATGGATAAAGTGGTAAACATTGCGGAAATTATCATTTCATGTCACCTGAATAACGTGGATAATTATTCTACGTCAGTCGGATAAAGTGGTTATTCATTATTTGTCGACTGAATAACGGAAATAATAATTTTATATCACTTGCATAAAGTACTTAATAATTTTACTCCACTTGGATGCAGTGGGTAATCTTTATATGTCACCAGGATAACGGAAATTATAATGTCACTTGGATAAAGTGGATTATAATTATATGTCACTTGTATAACATGGATAATCATTCTACGTCACTTCGACCAAGTGGATAATTTACGTTATTTCATGGATAATGGAAATACCACTATGTGTCATTGGTACTCTTTCTATGTCACTTGTATAATGTTACAGTTAATTTTTCAAGGGAATATAAATAATGTGGATAATAATTATATGGCACGTGGATAACGTGGATAATCCTCCTACGTCACCAGACTAACGGGAATTATCATTATACATTATTTGGATAACTTGAATAATGGGGATAGCAATTCTGTACCACTTGCACAACATTGAGATCGATATATGACACTTGGATATCGTGGATATTCAATGTATCATGGACAAAATGGATAAGTATTTAATGACATTTAGATAATTAAGTACTACACACTTAATTTGACACTGGTTAAATTGAATTTTTTTTTTATTTTAATTTCTTAGCTTTGTATTTCTCTCACAAACACTCCTTTTTGTAGAAAGGATTAAGATCCCATTAGAAATGTGGGGTTTGAAAATGAGGAAAAAATATTGAAAAAAGAAGAATTTATTCTAAATTTATTTTATTTATATAATAAAACTTGACCCCAATTCAGAAGTTAAGAATTGAAAATTGAAATTTTCAAAAATAGCAAAAGAATTGTATGTTACGAGTGTTGTTCGGCTAAGGAGCTACAGTTGTTTATAGCAATGTTTCTACTTGATTTATCCTTCAATAAACAAATGACAAAACTAATTATGTAGATTAAATAAAATACAGCCATTATAAATTAATATTCTTTATTATTTAAACCACTTGTTTTATTGTGCTATTTTCAATTTGACATTCTTCTCTAGTCGGTAGATTTTCTTTTTTAAAGATATACCGTTTTTCATAATTAGTTTTTGGGAAATTTTGCTAGGTTCTTTTTATTTTTGCTTTAACATTTATTTAAACTTGGCATATGAATTTATTATTACCATTTCTTTTGTTTTTAAATAAATGCTCTTTGTCATTATTTTATATTTTTATTTCACTAAATATATTTTCGCTACATAACACATTATGTGTTTTTTTTGTTTTTGCATTTTTTTTTGTCTTAATTGTAACTGTCATTTACATGACCGACTAGGCTTTTAGTGCCCAGATGCTCAGATTTCTATTTTATTTATATTTTGTTTTTGTCAACAAAAATGAAATAATAATATTTATTTATTTTTTTATATTATAAATTTATTTTTAGTCAACGCTTTCTGTTTTATATTTTTTTTTTTGCTTTGAAATTATTTCTATTTTATAAATTGTTTACTTTATCAGTAGTGGCTGTTAGATTTGCATTTTGGTCATTTGGGAAATTTGGGTTTTCCCCAGAGAGATAACTGTTTTGTTTATTTACGGGTATTTTTTCCATTTATTACTATTATTATTTTTCATATGCTAAATAGAGTTGTGTGTTTATTTGTTTGTATTTTACAATCACATGCAATGGTAATTCATATTTTATTTATTACACTCAGAAAAAAAAAAATAAAACATGAGAGATTGATGTATGTCAAGCAAAACATTCAATTTGATAGTTATTTTTTCGGTAGCAATTGAAAAAAACGAACTATATTCAAATAAATACATAAATTTAACGTTTCTTTAGAACATACAGCCAGTTTTTCTAAAACATTTAGACGTAATAGTTGAAAAACAATATTCAGCGGAAAGTGACATAACTTAACTGATGATGACTAAGAAGACATTACGAAGTTATATTATTAACTTTAAAATAGTGCTTATTTTTTAGGAGCTTCGGTAAGTAATGTTAAGTAATGTTTGAATGTTAAGTAATATTTTCAGGAAGAAATACAGGAAATTTTTGGATTTTAAGTAATATTTTCAGAAATAAATCCAGGAAATTGAAAATATAATTTTTGATAGTCTTTCCATAAGCCAGAATTGCTGATCTATATGCAAAAGAAATTTCGAGGACTTTGTCACCAAGAAACATATCCCTTCTTTTTAGGGATGTTTGTGTGAATCCAGATGTTCTCAATTTAGATAAAATTTGATTATATTTCCACACTTTAATTAGTACCCATTTTAGTGTATATAATCCACAAATAGCCACATTGAACAAAATAAAACATATTCATTTTTATACCCTCCATAATAGCGTGAAGGGTATATTAAGTGTGTCCGTTTGTAACACTACTAAATATACATTTTAGGCTTAACAAAGGATATATATTCTTAATCAGTATAAAATTCTAAATCGATTTAGCGATAACCATTCGACGGACTGTCCGTCTGTGGAAATCAAGCTAGTTTAGTTTATGATACCCTATACCACTTTGCATATTTAGTAGATCTATCCATAACAAATAAATGTTTTTATGAAGAACATATGAGAATTAAATCAGCTATAATTTAAACCCGAATAGTTCTAAATTATGGAATTTGAATCGGTTTCTACTAAATTTTCGGAGGTATTTGTGTCTGAACCGATTTTCATCAAAATCCGTCCTATTTGAGCTGATAATACTCTTTTCTAGCGCAGTAAACGTGAAATCGAGAGAAGCTATATATGGGAGCTATAACAAAATAATGAAAAATGGGCTAACCAGTATATTTGGGAGCCATAGCTATATTCGAACCGATTTCCAACAAGTTTTATATACTTGTTTCTATGCGTATTTGGATTAATATTGAGCATTTGGTGCACAATAAAAGGCAAATCGGACGAAGATATATATGGGAGCTATATCTAAATTTGGACCAATTATCGCCAGTTCGTCCTTGGTGAAAGTGATTTGTGTAAAATTTCATCTCGATGGTTCAATAAATGCGACCTGTACTTTGTTTACAAAATGCATGGACAGACGGACGGACGAACATGTATAAATCGACTCAGAATGTGATTCTATGCAGATCATCAAAAGAAACTATGGGTCTTTCTCGCTTCGTTCTCAATGTTACAAACAAATGCAGAAAGACATGATACCCTGACCACAGGGTGGTGTCGGGTATAAAAACGCATTACATCTGTTGGTTAGTTTTAGCGACTACCTTACCTTACTGACTCATTAACCAGTTGGAGAACTGCACTACAATTTAATATAAGTGACGTAATTTGTTGAAATTGGAAGGTCTTTATTTGATATCGATGGAAATTACTATTAATCTCCCCTTTCATTAGAAATGACTCGTTTGCAATCATAACAGTTGGTACAACTTAGCCTGGTCTTCGTTCCCGCTCATGACCCACATAACTTTTAGCAGAATACCTGTGCCTGGAACGCTTCAGGTTTACTGCAAGTTTCCGTCCAAGGCAGCCACTAAATCATAGTCTGGTCCAAGCTGATGGCTAGATTGAATCTCGTAGTCTATTGCATTCACTTCTCCCACTATATACTAGTCCATAGCAACACGAATGCTGCCGTGCGGGAGATCCATAAAAAAGATTCACATTTTGAGATGTCGAACATATAGGGATGATATATTACAATATAAAGGTCAATTTTTCGCTATTACCATTTCCCAACACTGGGTTTTTGTTTCACCGTCAAACATCTTCTATTTTTCAACAATTTAACCATAAATCGTCTTACAAACGAACAACGCTTTCTCATCATTGCATTTTATGTGATATATGTGCTCTGCTAAGAAAGCTCTTCCATTTTATGGGGTTCAGCGATGAAGCTCATTTTTGGCTAAGCAGAATTGAAATAAATATCGGGCAGAAGCATTGTTAAGCTACCAATGCATTCAGAAAAAGTCACAGTTTGGTACAGTTTAAGAGCTGGACATTGAACAGTATTTCCCCAAAAATGGTGGACGGTACCGTGAGATGATATTCAATTTTTATACCCTCCACCTTGGAAAGGAGGGTATATTAACTTTGTCATTCGGTTTGTTGCATCCTTAAATATTCGTCGTCGACCCCATAAAGTATATACATTCATAATCAGCATAAAATTCTAAGTCGGTTGAACGATGTCCTCCTGTCTCTCTGTCTGTCTATCTGTCCGTCTGTCTGTTGAAATCGCGATACAACCCACATTAGTTGACGTAGATGGTTGATATTGAAAATGAGATATATAGGCCCACACTTTGGTATAGTCCCCATATAACAGTACCTCCCGATATTTGGTATTTTAATAATTTTTGCCACATTTTTTCACGGATTTGTCTAAAAATTGGTACTTTTTGGTCGTAATGGATTCTAGCTCGTGTGGCGAAACATTGTATGTATAGCTTCATTTTTTGTGTAGCCCCATATAACGGTACCTCCAGATATTCGGTATTTTGATAAAAAAAAAATTGTATTTGTAGATCAATCATTCCATTGATATTCGGTACTTGATTAACCCACATAATTGTTTCATATTTTAGAAGATTTGATAGATGACAATCCTTGAAGTATAAAATTGTCTATAGAGGTTCCCGTGGAGTTGAGATACAAGGCTAAAATTTTGCACACATTTTTATTTTGCAGGTTAAGTTGGTAAATGGACCATATAGGTCTACGTTTTCATATAGCCCCCACATAACAGTACCTCCCGATATTCGGTATTTTGACGATTTTAGCGACATTATTCACCGGAAATATTTCAAATTTGCTATTTGAAGTTCGAATTGGACACTACAGCCTAAGACAGAAAATTACCTGTGCAGGTCCACGTCTTCGTATAGCCCCCATACAACGGTACCTCCCCATATTCGGTATTTTTATGATTTTAGCGACATCATTCACCGGAATTGTTTCAAATTTGGTATTTGTAGTTCGAAATGGATACTACAGTCTGTGACAGTAAATTGTCTATGCAGATCCAGGTCTTCGTATAGGCCCCATATATCAGTATCTCCTTATATTCGGTATTTTGACGATTTTAGGTACAATACTCACCGAAATTGTTTGAGATGTCGTATTTGAAGTTCGTAATGGAAGCTACATATATTAGGTCTTCGTATAGCTCCGATACATACGGTATTTTGATGATTTTATCTACATTATTCACCGTTTATTTCAAGTTTCGAATTTGAATATGGTAATAGGAGGTTCGATTTAACGCCTTTAGACTATTTTCTTGGAACAACGTTAAATCTCATGATTATACAGACGAGTCGCTTCAATTGACGCATTGAGGCATTTATTATTGAGATGCCATACGAAATGTTTTAAAGAGTATACTAAAATTGGACCAATTTAGGAGCAGTCCGGGTCTGTTAATTCAAATAAAGATTTCACGTATTTAGAAAATTGTATGTTTTTTTTAATAACGTTCCAATAGCATTTAGGAAATCTCCCTTCATATTGTGTTCGAACACATGTAACTGGATAACCAAAATGCTAGACAAAATCATTTGTTGCAGTATATTTCTGAAGCAAAATCATATTCATACTATTGTGAATGGTCGTTTTTCTTCTCTGTATCACATAAACACTACACACACAACTAATTAATTTAAGTTGGAAAAAATATTAAATTACAAAAAACTATTCATTTGAACTTACCCTTAAACTTCCAGTTGAACGTCGATCTGTTGAGGCATAGTGTTGAAGGCCACCGGGTCCTGTTAAAGGAACTATGCCACAACCGGAGCGTATGCCTTGACCCAATGTAGCTCTAAACACAGACAGCAAGCAGTCAGAGAGGCAGGCAGGCACGCAACAGGCAGACAGAAATACGAAGAGACGGGCATTCAGGCGGCAGGCATTCACCATCGTTATCATTGTAATTAACCACAACAACAACAAAGAACATCAAATGCCAAATGCATATCAAAAGAAAATGTCAAAGGCAAAAGATGAATGGATACAATAAGCAAATACCAGAAAGACATTGAGTCACGCACGCACACACATATAGTTGAGAGATAGAGTGTGCAAGTGAGCGGGCGAGTAATGTAGACAATGACAACGAGATCAAGGCGACAAAAAAGTCGAGCATCCATGTAATTACGATAGGGTGACGGATTTGTTATTGTTGCCATTTTAGATACCATCAGTCGGATTCCATCGGCATCATTATATTTGTCGTCGTCATTATCATCATCATCGTCGGCAACAGCAGCATTAGAGTAATTAGTTTCAAACATGTTGCGTTTTTGTTTTCATGGTTTGATGGTAGTTTTTTGGGGTTGGGCGAATTGTTGATGGTTGTAGTTGTTTTGATGGAAAGTTACACCCGCACACGCACACACACACAATGGACACAAGAAAATAGGTGTTTTAAAGGAAATCAAAACAAAGGCATTTCCCCAAAAAGGAAATAAGTAAGAAAGAAAAACACAGACACACACACACGCAAACACAAAAGGCGTAAGAACAACAACAGCAAATTTTGTGAAGGTGTAAGAACAAATACGTGGGCCGCAATTGGATATGGGGTGTTGGGAGTGAATTGGTACAACATCAAGAGTAAGACAAGCAAAAGAGGTAGGAGTTACAAAGACGAGCAATATAGATAAAGATTTTCACAAAAAAGAAGCAGAAAACAATTGTTATACAAATTATATTTGTAATTGTTGTTGTTGTTGTCAGTGTCATTGTGTGGTTGTGGTAGACAAGTTCAGAGGTTGATGGTTAAAGTGAGTGGGTGGTGGTTGGTTGGGTGTGTTCATAATAGAGATGCCAATTTATTGTTGTTGTTGGTGGTGGTATTAAGTTGGAGCCACACACAACAAATGTTATTTTGTTAACAATTTTGTTCGAGTTGCGGTTGATGTCAATGTTTGTTTTTTGTTGCAAGCAAGACCATTGTTTTAAGGGGTTTTTATGGCGAGTTTTTTTTTCAATATTTATTTTTTTTGTATTTTTTGTTGTTGTTTTATTGTGTGGTAACATTGAAAACAATCATCACAGTTTTGTTTTTTCGTTTGTTTTTTGGTTTATCAAACATTGCCAAGAAAGTATATCAAAAAAGAGGAACGTAGTTGGAAAAAATAGATGAAAAAAGAGAAAAAAGAAAGACAAAAAATAGAGAGCATTAAACATTGGACATTTAAACATTAAGTATATATTTATATATAATAATTCTATATATGTAGATATGTAGGTACATAAATTAAAAATTAAAAAAAAAATACAACAAAGTGTATATATATTTATATGTGTGTGTTTTAATTGCATACACATTAAATCTATGTTTATGTAGGCTAATTGAATACAGTATTATTATCATTATAAATGTTATCTAAATAACATTATTAGTCATTTTTCGAAATTTATTATTATTTAAGTGTTATTGTTGTTAGTTTTATGTGAGTATGTGTGCTTAATATTATTCTTATTGTTTTAAAATTGGGGTTAAGAGTTAATTTTCCACTTAAAATGCTAATAATAAAAATGACCAAAACCGAGAAACACAAACATTGCTACTATTGTCCGAAAAAAATACAACAAAAAACACAAATTTAAGCTTAAAATAAAAATTTAAAAAAATGAAACATTCATAAATTTTCGTGCCATTTAATATGAACATAAATTTAATAAATGCTTTAATGTTAGTGACTCATTTTTGGAGATTTTTCTTTGGTTAAAAGGGAGTTATGTTGTTATTGTAAATATTTCCATGGTTATTTTTTCTAAAATTATGGATTTTTTATGTAAGTATTTTACTTTTTTAATATTTTCATTAATTTTCTTCTTATATTCATAAATACAATATTACAAATATTGGTCTTTGATTTTTTGTTTTTGGTGTATTTTGATAGTGGGTTTTCCTTGTAACGGGGAAGGATAATATTAGTTGCTCAGAAATAAAAGGTTAAAATCTAAATAAAGAGTTTACATTTGTATAAAATTAAATGCATTTTGATATGTTTTCCTTTTCTTTGGAAGTATAACATAAACCTCCAAATGTTGTAATTTTGTTCAGATAATTATTTTTGGTTTGTTAAAAAAATATAACAAAAATGTCTTAATTATAGAAAAAAATATTTTTTTTTTTAACAATTGATAGTTTGACATTTGTATGAATTAATGAATGAATTAAATTGCTAACGTGATCTTAAAAGTAAAGTGAATCGATATTGAACTACATAGCTGTATAAGAACTCAAAATGCCAGAATTTGGCGAAATTAAATGAAAAACATGTCCAAAACGTAAAAAAATACTTGAAATCAGACTATTCCGAAAACTGGATGAACCATTTTCTGTACAAATGATTTCAGAGCTCTATCATAACTATTACGAAATGTATCTCAAACTATAGGCGTACCTTTGTATATGGTCAAAACTATATAAGGGCTTTAACAATATTTGGCTTTTAACAAATTTTGTCCAGAACACCTTTGGGGGTTAGATCTAAAAACGAATACTATCAAGTCCACTTGGCATTTTCCTTAAGCTAGACTAGGTATTGTGTAGTGAAATTATAAGAAAATTTGCAGCGAATTGGGAAAAGTACAATTTTTCTCAGAAATAATTTATTAACAATTATGTTATGGTACATAATAGGTATATCTTTTGTTCAGAGACTAACAATGGCATTTTATCTAGAATAATTCTTACTTTGACATTTTCCCAAAAAATGAAGTAATAAGGGAGATTTTTGAGGAAAAGTTGAACAAAATTGATAAAAAAAATTAGGAAATATTTTTGGTTTTTTGGGAAGATTAATGCAATTATTTTTTCATATACAATTGAAGTAGATTTAATTTCTGTGGTAACTAATCGTAAGCTTTGATGAAGAATATGTCTTCGAGGAAATATGTCTTCGAGGAATAATTTTGAAAAGGATGTTTTATAGGAGATGTTTGCATAAACTCACACAAAAAACGGCTTTAATCCTGAACTGTGTTTTTTATATAATTCTTGTTTTTTGTGTAATATATAAGATCTAAACTCTTGACGTCTTTCAGGACCTATAATCGAATTTTATGACAAATAACAATATTTTGACTAGCTACGATCCCGTTTAAAGAGAATTTTAACCATATTTTCCATTATTTTTTTTGTTGACTCACATGATGATTAAAATATAATAACAAAATAATCATCGTATTTTTATCTGCAATATTGCTAAAAACACTATTCCCCTAAAATTCACGAATTCGGAGGAATCTTAATCCGAAAATTAACAAAATTTACTATTTTGGCAAATTTTTGTGCCAACATAAAATTCTACTTAGGTTCAGCCTTGTCTGCTCTTCTGGGCTGGTTGATAAAAGGATTCTCATATAATTACTTTCGTCCGGATCATTTCCACAAAGGCTCGACTTCATATTACTCTCAATAACTAAGAGGAATGTTTTTCAATACCTTTGCAATATTTGCTGATCGCTGCCAATATCATGATTTTATCCCGGCACAGGGAATGATCACATGGTATTTTCAGTATTTTGATATCACTACTTTGGTAAAAAACAAGGTCTATAGGTTACTCAGATACATTTTAGGTTCGTAGGACCGTGGAGATGCCTGTTGTGTTATAGCCGTTATGTATCGGTATTACCAGATGTAAGGTATTTTGGGTGTTGTAGTCATAGTTTTAAACCTGTAAAGGCAAGGAATCGTCCATATAGGCCAACGTTTTGGTATAGTCTCTTCTAAAATTGTCGGCCGGTATTACACGAATAAATTCTTCAATGTTATCGAAGGCGTCAATTAAAGCGGCTCCTCTGTATAGATATGAGCTTTAACATTGTCCCACAAAAAAAATAGTTTAAAGATGGCGATCTAGGCGGCCCGAATGTGCAAAAAAAAAAAAAAAATGATTCCCGAATTCACATCTCCATAAGTACATTGTTACGGGCGCTGTGTAGTACCGTCTTCTTGGAACCAAATGTGTCAATGAAGTCAACCTCTTGTAATGAAACCGGACTCCATTGAAAAAACCGGACTTCATATTGTATACCGGAACCGGACTTCATATATTAGAGGGGGTATCATCATTTGATACTGTCAAAACGTGCCTCATCAAAATAACGATTTTAGACCCTAAGATTCTTTGGACCAAATCCGTTTCAGGACATTTGGACTCGATCTAGCGATATCCGTAGATCCGTCTGTCTGTCTGGTTGGTGTGCACGATAACTCTCGAAGGGCGTATCCAATTTGGTGCATGGTAATATTTTTATCTTACTTAAATCGAGTTGTATATATATATATATATATATATATATATATATATATATATATATATATATATATATATATATATATATATATATATATATATATATATATATATATATATATGTATATATATATATATATATACATACATATATATATATATATATTTTTTTTTTTTTTTGAAAATTTCGACCTTTTATTTTATTTTTTTTTATTTTATTTTATTTTATTTTTATATATATATTGCCGTACAGAAAGAGATAGGATAATCCGATTTCGATCTGCTATAAATATGGTAAAGATCGGACCATTTTGAAAAACTGCAGACCTTGAGCTCACATGTCGAACGTTCGATATTTGGCTCTTTGGATTGCTACTTCGACTTCTTGCAGAACAGGTACGATGAAATCTCCGTATTACGATATCAGTCAAATCTCAAAATTTTGAAAACACTCACATCATTTTATAATTGTTGTTTTATTATAATTTTTTTTTAATAATTATGTTTTCGTATTTAGTTCTAAAGAAAAAAACTGGATCTAAAA